AAATTTTTTTTTTGTATTCCATATTATTCATTTTCTTCTTAAAACATAATTTAAATGATATATTGCTTAAAAATTTTAATCTTTTAATAAAATATTATCAAAATCAAATATTAACAAAATGAAAAACATTGGTTACTTTTTAGATCTACACTTGAAGAAAATTTTCAAGAGTTGGAAGTTATGCCAGTAATGAATTTTTTTTTTCCATTTTACTTGTTGTATATCATGTATAAATTTTATTTCTGATTTGCATTGGGTATTGCTTTTAAAGTCTAACAATAACTACAAAGAAAACATTAACGATAATAACGAGCTTGGAATCAAGGATAAAAATATTTTCACTCAAAAGTAATTTTTTTTTTTTGCAGTCCTGTTTGCATTAGGTTGACTAACACAATACTAATCACTATTTAAATGTAGATTCAACAAAATGGAAGATTCAAAGAAGTGGATGCTAAAACCAGGAAGATTTGTCGAAAATGTGCTTTATCAGATTGGAATGAAATGCCAATATCATAAGTAAGAATTGTGTTAATTGTTTGTTGATTTTTTAAATCTCAATGAAGGAATTGCTGACTTCTTTTAGTCTTATTCATTCTTTCATACTTGATCCTGAGGATGAATTTATCAAAAACACATTCAAAGAAGAAGAGATATTTGAGATTGTTGAAAAGAAAAATGGACAAGATCCACCAGAAATTGATGGTGAGATTCTTGAATACATAAACATGTTTGCTAAGGTAAGTTTGTTTTAGATTGATAGAATATCATTTTTTAGTTATTATTTATAACCAAATGGATTATCTGTACAGGATTCTATGAATGAAATACAAATAGCACTGAATACACCACATCACCGACTTGGAAACAATGGCGTCCTCACAAATGATTTTTTTGATTTGATTAAGATTAGATTAACTAATCTGCCCTTACAAATCTGCCGATCAAAATTTATTTAATCTTAGGATTTGATTAAGATTTATTTTACTATTAAAAATAAATCTTCCTCCCGAGTAGAATTTATTTCCATTTCGATTCTTTCCACCAATCAAAATTTAATAAAAAATTTAATAAAAAAAATTCAAAAAAAAAATTATATATATTAATATAGTAAAAAAATAAAATAAAATAAACACGTTTTTTTTTTAGAACAAAATGGATATTAATCACATTTTAGAACTACATATTCCACAAATTCAACAACAACCAATTCAACAACCACAGATTGAAACTCTCAAAATTGAAAATAAAAATAAAACTTGTAAACGTGTCCAATGGAATGATTCGGCCACTAAAGCCTTACTTACTTTTCTTGAAAATAACAAAGAAGAGCTTGAAAAATTGAAAACAACTCGTGGAGCAGGATCTAAACCAAACGTACCTTTTTGGTTGAATGCATCTGCATATTTAAGCACTTTGGGACATTTTTACAATGACATTCAATGTTTGACTAAGTGGAAAAATTTGACTGATAGTTATCGGGTATAGTATTCTTATTTGGATTTTTTAAGAATAGTATTGACTTCTATTAACTAAAATATTTATATTTATATTTATATTTATTCACTATAGAAATTGACAGCAAAAGCAAAATTGAGTGGTGGTAGTCCTGTTAATATTCAATATAAGGATCAGATCGAAAGCATTTTAGATAAAAATCGTCCTAATATTAGCCCTACTACAATTATTGATTCCTTTGAATCCAAAGAGTATGATGAGACAATTACAAAAATTGGTCGTAATTATTATACCAAAAAACATAAAGAAAATGATGATAATGAATATGGTGATGGTGGTAATAGTGATGAAGGAGATGGTGAATTAACTAAAAAATCCAAGAAAAAAAAAACAAATAATAATAATAAAGGTAGTAAATCTTTAGATAATTATTTAGAATATTGCAAAGAACAACAAAAAATTAGACAAGAAGAGAAAAAGAAAAAACAAGAGGAAAAAGAAAAAAGATATGAACAAAACCAACAAATAAATATGATTTTGGCAACAACAATTCAACAAATTTCATCTTCACTCATATCATCAAATATTAGGGGTGTTCAAAGTTGTTCCGTTCCTGTTCCTGTTCCTTGTTGTACAATACCTTATTAGGTAATGGAAATAAG